CGTATCGCATCGCATCGGTAGCTGCTTCATATGTATCTTTAATGTATCGTATCGTTGGCTATGCATCGAGATGCATATCGTATCAGCCTGACTCATGAGATGCACATCCCTAATACACACACATCAGTTTTTAAAAGACTTTCATAAACAGACTTGCTAATGCACATATTATTGCAATTTAACATAACTGTTTTCTGTCCAGTACTGTATATACAGTATATTTTAAATAATGTAAAATTTAATTTATTGCTGTGATGGCAAAGCTGAATATTTTAGCAGCCATTATTCCAGTCTTGAGTGTCACATCCTCCAGAAATTATTTTAATATGCTGATTTGCTCCTCAAGAAACATTTCTTATTATTATCAGTTTAAATATATTTTTAGAAAAACATGGCACATTTTTTTCTTCAGAATCCTTGTACAGTTCAAAAGAACAGCATTTACTTGAAATATAAATCTTTTGTAACATTATAAATATCTTTACACCATCTTTGATCAATTTAATACATCCTAGCTAAATAAAAATATTTTCTTTCATGAAAAAAACCTTACCTCAAACTTTTGAATGAATTTTGAGTGTATGTATTCTACATCTAGTGTTTCCATGTGTCATCTAGCAAACTAAATGGGCTCCACAAGTCAAGGACCCCATTGGAAATGGAATTCAAAATCTAATTGGAACCTGGAAAGTTTTATTTTTGAAAAATAAAATAAAAAAATTCCAGATTCTGCAGATTTTTAGGTCGCTTCAGTTATGGGACTCTTTGTACAGCCGGTCAGATGTTCTTCCATTGATGCTCAAGATGCTCTATGGATCATCTCAAATCATGCTGGAGAACATGATCATTAAGTTTTAAACAAACTTATGGAGTTCATGCAGTTTGAGTACTGCTGTCATTAAAACGGGTATATTTTTCATCTGTAAATGTTAGAAAGGCATTCAAACATATCCATTTTGCTGTCAGGAGTGGGCGAGGCACGCGAGACGTGAAAATATACATTTTGATTAAAAAAAAAGTGTAGCTTTTAAACCTATTTTATTAATTTTAAATAAAATAAAAAAATTCCAGATTCTGCAGATTTTTAGGTCGCTTCAGTTATGGGACTCTTTGTACAGCCGGTCAGATGTTCTTCCATTGATGCTCAAGATGCTCTATGCACACACACACGATGCGCAAAACTCCGCATTTGAACAGTCAATAGCAAATACTTAAACTAATAACAAAACAGTAGCTAATTCAAAAGCGCTAGATTGTCATAGCAAAGTCAGAATTACCTCCTCTCCTAGGTTCACGAAACGGTCGTCCATAAAATGCATTGCTGTTCTGTTGTAAGTAATCTTAAAGATTCCTAAATGCATCTACTTTCGGAAGGCCAAATAAAGTGCTTTTGTTTTCGCCTAGAAACACACAGCGTCTCCCTGACATGGTTGCTTCAACACTAACTGCGGTTACTGAAACCACGCCGCCTTTCTTTGCGTGAACATTTGGGCGGCATTATGCATTTATTTCCACATAGTGAGGTATATATGTGGGGGCGTGTTAGAACGAGCCTATTTAGGGGGGCGTGGCAGAGTCTTAACTTTGATCAAGAATATCTCTTTGTTTTTGAGACTTTAGTCTTTGCAACTTCAGGGATCTTATCTATGCACAATCAGCTTGTAACACTCCAAAGAGAAAGGAAAACTTGAAATCGCAAGTAAGAGATATTGTACGTATATATTTCGGTTTGTGTGAACGCATGCAGGAAAGGACTCTGTGACCGTACGACTCTGACATGAATTTATGATGCATTACCTGCCTGCTGAACATGTTGTGAATAACAGCTTGCTGATGAGGGGCTCACTGAGAAACTCAATTACCTTTTAATTATGCTAATGAGTTCCTCAGAGGAACTGTGGATCCTGAGGTCTAAGGAGCGGAAAAGCATGCCGATTAACCCCTGACCCAGAGACAAATAAGGCATTATTATTCACAAAGGCTACATGTGACCCTGGACCACAAAACAGCAAAAAATACTGAGAAAATCGCCTTGAATGAAGTTCTTAGCAATGCATATTACTAATCAAAAATTAAGTTTTAATATATTTACAGTCGGAAATTTACAAAATATCTTCATGGAACATGATCTTTACTTAATATCCTAATGATTTTTGGCATAAAAGAAAAAATCATTTTGACCCATATAATGTATTTTTGGCTATTGCTACAAATATACCCCAGCGACTTAAGACTGGTTTTGTGGTCCAGGGTCACATATGCTGGGAAAGTGCTGTCATTCTCTTAGGAGATACATCAGGAGATTTGACTTTTAAATACAGTGACCTTTCCAGTAAACAAGACGTCTGAAATCTAAAAGAGGCTATATATTAAATACTCCACATTTGCAGCTTCTTAAAGGGATAGTTCACCCAAAAATGAAACTTTTTCTGGATATTTACTCACCCTTAAGGCTATTTGAGATGTAGATGAGTTTTTTTATTCATCGGAACAGATTTGGAGAAATTTTGCATCACATCACTTGCTCACCAATGGATCCTCTGCAGTAAATCGATGCTGTCAGAATGAGAGTTCAACAAACTGATAAAAACAATACAATAATCCACAAGTAATCCACATGACTCCACTCCATCATTTAACCAAATCTATTAAGGAATTTTTTACTTCAGGAGAAAAATATGCACAGATTAAGCACCATTTAAAGGGGTCATATGATGCTGCAAAAAAGAACATTGTTTTGTGTATTTGGTGTAATGAAATGTGTTTATGCAGTTTAAGGTTAAAAATCACATTATTTTCCACATACTGTACATTATTGTTTCTCCTCTATGCCACCCCTTTCTGAAATGCATCGATTTTTACAAAGCTCATCATTCTAAAAAAGCGAGGTGTGCTCTGATTGGCCAGCTATCCAGTGCGTTGTGATTGCCCGAATACCTCAAGCGTGTGACGGAAATGTTACGTGCTTTACCATATTGTGATGCCCTGTCCAGCCGGAGCGTAGCATAAAACCATGTCTGCATTTGTGATCGGAGAAATGACAAACAAGCGCTACTCTACACTGCCCAAAAAAACTCACGTTTGAATCGTCAGTGGCAAATTCTTTAAATATAAAAAACTTACTTACAGTCTGTGAGTCAGAACAGTCGGCATTGTAGGCTACTCTACCAGATTCAGGAAACAGTCCTCCATAAAATGTGCTGCACACATCTGAATATTTGGGTTAAACTGTTCTGGAACAGTGTTGTAAATACAACTTAACCACTGATTTCTAGTCGTGTCCTCTTTTGGAAGGCCAAACAAAGTAATTTTGCTTTCATAACAAAAAAGCGTCACACACCTTGAGTGAGCAGAGGCCGGAGGCCTAGAGTATGCGGAGGCCGGCTTGAGTAAGCAGAGGCGGGCGGGCTTGAGAATGGCACGGCCAGCGGTTTCGATGAAGGAGCGTCCGGCGGGCTTACGGCAACCACATGTGATGATCCCGGGCTGGACTCCGCTTTGTCCACGGTGAAAGCCGATCCAGCGATCAACAACGCAAAGTTGTTGTATTTCCTCAGCAACCAGCACGGATCAGCTCTAGGCATGACGAAGCGGATATCGTCCTCTTTTGGAAGGCCAAACAAAGTAGTTTCGCTTTCACAACGAAACACAGCACCTTCACGACATGGCGGCGGCAACAACAATACTACAGCGAGAATAAAAGTTATGCCTTCTTTCTTTGCATGAACATTTGGGGGCCGTTATGCAAATCTTCCCACACAGTGACGTAGACACGTGTTAGAACAAGCCGTTTTAGGTAGGTGTGGCTGACTCTTAACTTTTATAAAGAATATCTCTTTGGATTTCAGACTTTAGTCTTTGCAACTTTACATAATTTCTTTATGCACCAAGAGCTTGTAACACTCCAAAGAGAAAGGAAAAATTTAAATTGCAACATATGACCCCTTTAAAAGTGAAAACACTTCTAAACAAATGTCAGTGGATTTTGATGTGAGAGGACAACGGGATGAATTTTTTCACTGGTAGAAGTTTTATTATGGTTTAAGGACTGGTATTTTAATCAGAAGCGAGGGTTTATAGTTAAAACGTCTTAATAATGGATTTGTTTCTTACAAACACGCAGATTTTCACTTCACAGAACGTTAATTGATGGACTGGAGTCAAGTGGATTACTTGTGGATCATTGTGATGTTTTTATCAGCTGTTTGAACTCTTATTCAGACTGCACCCATTCACTGCAGAGGATCCATGTAATTCAAGCGATGTAATGCTAATTTCTCCAAATTTGTTAAGATGAAGAAACAAACTTGTTAACATTTTATTTCAATAGTCCACTTTAGACATTCCGCTGACTATAAGTAACTTTGCAACTACATATCAACTAGCAGTCATTAGAATATTAGTAGTAAACATTTTATTTGAATTGGCCCCCAACAGACTTTCTACCAAAGTAACTTTGCAAATACATGTCAACTTATTCTACTAACCCCTACTCTAATGGGAGTTAGGTTACATGTAGTTGCAAAGTTACTTATAGTTAGTGCAATGTCTAAACTGGACTATCGAAATAAAGTGTAAGAACAAACTCTTTTACATCTTTGATGGCCTGAGGATGAGTAATTTTAATTTTTGGGTGAACTATTCCTTTAATAGTGCAGAATTGGATGCAAAATGGTGCTTTGTCTCCAACAAGTGTTTATGGTGTATACTTACCTGACATAGAGAATCAAATGTAGATGTCTAATTCTCATTAGATGCATGACAGCTACCCAAGCGAACATGATTTAATCTGTCTATTCACTCAAATGGACATCCATAACTGACCGTTTAATTCTTGGCATGCACCATAAATCCTCTAGAGTCATTAGAGAGATTTATGTGCTCTTTCTATCTCCTGAGTCTCGCTCACATTCCAGTGAAATGAGGATTGTGTTGTTACAGGCATTTTTTTGGCAGAGAAATGTTCATTTCCCGCTCATGGCTTGTTGTTGCGAGATAAGACAGGAACTGGGAGTGTTTCCTATAGCTGCACTCAGTAAAGACAGTTTGGAGAGAAATGTGCATACTGCTTTGGATTATTACAATGAAGGTAAGCATTTATCTAAACATTCCTGCATAATTTTAATGGACCACTACAAATATACTTGTAAAGCCTGGTGCTTTAAGTTTACACTAACACAAATTATGAACTCCAGTATAACTGTCAAGATTAATGCAATATTAATAAAATGCATTTTTCCCACAACTGATAGCACAGGGTTATTAGGAGGAAAACTGTTTTTCATTTTAACTTTGTTCTCAGTGTGTGTTCCTGCATGAAGTCTTTCTTGTCTCTCTGTTGTCTTCAGCAGCAGTTATACAGTAAGTAACTAAAAACATATTTGATCAAAAATATGAGCAATAACTGTAAATAATAACTAAATAACTGTAAATCTATCTATCTATCTATCTATCTATAGTATGTCTGTCTGTATAGCTTGAATTCAAAATGTAGAGCTTGAATGCAATGTAAAATGGTTTGGATTATATGCATGGCAGTTTTAATGTGATAGAACATACAATATTCATAGACAGTGGTCCCAAAAAGTATCTGACACTGAAGTCACACTTTAAAATGTCATTGCATTGAATAACAACATTTCTCTTTAGAGTGTTACAAGCTGATTGTGCATAGATAAGATCCCTGAAGTTGCAAAGACTAAAGTCTCAAAACCAAAGAGATATTCTTTATCAAAGTTAAGACTGCCACGCCCCCCTAAAACGGCTCATTCTAACATGCCCCCACATATCTACCTCACTATGTGGAAATATTAGCATAATGCTGCCCAAATGTGCACGGAAAAAAAATAGGTGTGGTTTCAGTAACCATTACACTGTGGAAGCTTCTGTCACGAAAACAAATTCCTCGTGTGTGTAAACATACCTGGCAATAAAGCTCATTCTGATTCTGATTCTGAGCGAGCTAGCGAGAGCGAGAGGGAGAGAGAGAGAATTTGAATTTGAAAGACACATTTACTAAAATCGTATTTTCAATCACAGAAAAAAACTTTTAAAAATACAATCCAAAATTATAAAAAATTCTATGTATCTTTTTTTTTTAAAGCAATCAACAAATCACCATCTTCATTAACTGTACATAGAACCTCATTTATCCCCCAAACATCAATAAACACTTCTACACACTTTACCAATTTATAATACGCATGCTCTATCCTAAGACGAGCTGCCACCAGACCCATAAACATGTTTAACACATTCAAAGAACCTTGCCCTAACAATTTATTTTTCCTAGACTTCCAAATTGCAAGTTTTCCTGTACCAGACAACAAATTCAGTGGAGTCAACATATTTTTCTTACTTGCTGAATATTTTGGACCATAAATAAATGTTTCAAAAGAGAAAGCTTCACCAATTCCTGCAAACCATTGAGATAAAAGCATAAAAAGATCATTTAAACCAGAACACTACAAAGAAATGAAAAACTGTTTCGACTTCTGCGCAAAAAGGGCAACCCACCCCTACAGAAGGATCAAGGTGCACCACGTGTCTGTTCGTGGCTATGGCCCCATGTACAATCCTCCATTGGAGGTCACCCGTTCGTTTATCAATTGGTCGTTTATATAGGGACCGCCAACAGCCTCTAGGGCAGTGGTCGCCAACCCGTCGATCGCGATCGACTGAAGTATCACTGAAGGGAACTGTCTTGAGAAAAGTTTCAATGGCAATGGCATTTTCTTCTACGTATAAAGCGTGGCTCTGCTTTGTTTACAGGGGTAACCAAGGAAACGCTATTGCTGTCAGTTCATAAGCAGTGTTGCCAAGTCCGCGGTTTTCCACTGTTGCCGCGGGTTGTTGTTCATGTCCGCGGGTTGAAGCGACCCCAATAACGTGATATTTAGCCCCTGGAATGCGAATTTTACTGGAAGATCCCCGCCGAAAAACGTGTATTTTACCCCCAGAATGGATTTTTACAGAGGGACCCCTGGAAACACAATTGGACTAGTTTTATTGCGAAAACCTGGCAACCCTGTTGATAGGCGCCACCTGCTGTCAGAGAGTGCGTCTCATTCAGACCTGGGGCAAGTTCAAGCTCAAACCAGATGTGCACAGTTTTGCTACGGTTTCCGGGTTGAACGACATGTTTCCTGGAAACGGTGTGCAACGGGGTTTGAGATGCGTTTTCTCTTGTTTGGTGGGTGTGTCAAACATGTCAGCCCAATCAGCAGCAACATGTATGTAAACCACACGTATTAAAGAGACAGCTCGCACAATGTAATTAACATCAAAATAAGTTCACATGTTTGCACATGTTTATTTACATTAAAGGCAAAATAATAATAGTATCAGAAAGTATCAGGCAAAAATAATCAGAACAGGGTGTTCAACGCACCACCGTTTCCGTTTAAAACATGTTTTGCACCGTTTTTGTCAGGGCTGAATGCAGCCCTGTTATTTTTGTTTCGTGCAGATATTTTATGTAGCAAATAAATAAATAACACCTAAAGTCAGACCATTCTTTTTTTGTTTTAAATCCTGAAATTAATCTAAATCAAATAAAAACAACTGCCCGTGCAGATCGTGATTAAAATGCAGTGGTTGCCTCTAATTTCAAACGGCTAGATATTTTTGTTTGAAGCCAGTTTGTTTGTTATAAAGCAAATAGCCAATAAATACATTTGCTTAAATATCAGTATCAGAATCAGCCAATTTGCTAGTTTAAAAAAAAAAGAAAGAAAGAAAAAAAAATCTGAATTCTGAATCAGCTATGATCGGAGCATCACTAATTAAAATACTAAGTAAAAGGCCTCAAATTTGAAGTACAATCTGGGATGTCTTTTTCTATTAATTCTTCAATAGGTAGATCTTGTCTTTCATAAAGGCCGAGTTCAGGGATCTTGGGCCTAAAAAGGTTGGTGACCACTGCTCTAGGGGAAGAATTAAGAATTGACCTAAGAACTCAGTCCACTTTGTTGCTGGAACTCCTCTCAAAAGATGACCATTAGATGCCTTTACACAGGAAATATAAAGGGTTTTTCTCTTTACTTCCTCAAACTCATCCAACTGAGGGGTTTTAATGACAAAAGGCAATTTTCATCATCTTCCCACTCCCCCATAGCAATTTTTACATTTAATGAGGGAAACACATAAGGAACTCCTTTCCTCCACTGATCAATTTTTGTTGGATCATTTAAGAAAGTTTTATAGTCCGCATCCAAAGACTGATAAATCTCAGAAATAGCTTTCTTTAGCAGTCGCAATGATCTCACCCCAGTCTTTTCACTCAAATCTTCAATCTTAATGCTCAAGACATGTCCCAGTTTTATGCATCCAGCATCGATTAAACGTGAGCGTAGACTTTTGGCAGACATCAGTCTTGATAGTAGCAAGGAGTTGAAAAAGACTGGTTCTTCAAATAACCACAGACCAGCAGGTTCATCTGATGAACGCGAGATAGTAAACACTTTCCATGCTTCCATAGTTGACTTATAAAATGGTGTAAGATCCACCCGATCATCATCTTGAAGCTGCATTAGGAACAGATGTTTGTCCAGTCCCATACCTCCTACCCTCCTAAGGAGAACAGAAGAGGTTTCAATCCAGGATGCATTAGTATGGTACAACAGTCTCTGAATTGTCTGCAAACGGAAAGTCATTATTCTGGATTTTATGTCCACCAATCCTTGGCCTCCTTCTTGAACAGGAAGGAACAAAGCTGCAGATCGAATCCAGTGTTGTCCAGACCAGAAAAAGCTCACAAGCTTCCTTTGAATGTCTTCTATAAGTCCGACAGGTGGTTGTAACACCATTAGCTTGTGCCAAAGAGTAGAAGCAACCAAATTATTGGCCACCAGTACTCTTCCCCTATACGACAGCTGAGGTAGCAAATATTTCCATCTAGACAACTTTGTGCACATCTTCTCTACTGTACCCTCCCAGTTTAATTTTTGGAAATTGTCTGACCCCCAAAAAATCCCCAACAATTTAAAACCTTCTCTGCCCCACCTGAGGTCCCATGGCAATTGTGGGAGACTTTCAAGCTGCCCCTGCCCAACCCAAAAAGCTTCACTTTTATTCCAGTTTACTTTAGCTGATGAAGCTTTCTCATAACAATTAAGAACTTCAAACAACCTCTTAATATCATCTTTATGATTAACAAAAACTGTAATATCGTCAGCATAGGCAGACAAACATATTTTTGAGACAAAAGAGTAACCAGACACATAAAAACCTGACAATTTCTCTCGAAGTTTAAAAAGCAGTGGTTCAATTGCTAAACTGTACAGTTGACCAGATAATAGACAGCCTTGCCTAATTCCTCTTAATATAGGAAAAGGTCAACTCAAACCACCCCCCACCTTAACCCCACAAGCAGCATCAGTATATAATAATTGTATCAACTTTACAAATTTGTCACCAAACCCAAAGACCTTTAACACATTAAAAAGATAGTCATGGTCAACACAGTAGAAAGCTTTCTCTTGGTCCAATGAGACCAAACCAACATTCGTATTAAAAGCTTTACATATATCCAAAATATCTCGTACTAAAAATAAATGATCCATTATAGACCTCTTGGGAACACAATACGACTGATCCCTGTGTACAATCATCTCCAGATAATTGATAAAGTCTATTTGATAGGGCTGCATGATAAATCGCATGATATATTTAATGCGCATCTTGTCAGAAAGCCGGTTCTGTAATCAGCAGTAAATCTCCATCACGTGCGTGCTTTCACATTGAGCAGCATTAACTACACAGAGCCGCTGTTCACTGACGAGCTGCGCAAAAAAGCACGCGAATATGAACGTGGTTTTGCGCAGCTTGTCAGTGTGAAAGCACGCACGTGATGGAGATTTATCGCTGATTACAGAACCGGCTTTACTGATAAGATGCACGTTAAATATTGCATGTGATTTATCGTGCAGCCCTACTATTTGACAAGCATTTCGAGAATATTTTATATTCCGTTGTAAGAAGTGCAACAGGACGCCAGTTCTTTAAAAAAGCTAAATCCCCTTTTTTTTGGCAACAGTGATAAAACAGCATATTGACATGAAGTAGGCAAAACACTATCTTTTATACATTCGCAAAAAACATCAAAAAGGTCCTTGCCTATACAACTCCAGAAACTCTTATAGAAATCGGCTGGTAATCCATCCATTCCTGGGGACCGTCCTATATTGAGATTTGCAACAGCATCACTAATTTTCTTAAATGTTATATTTGCATCCAAAGCAGATTTAGAGTCACAATCCAACTGAGGAAGACCTTGAAAAAGATGTGTCATACAGTCATTGTCACAGTCCTCTGCAGCATAAAGATTAGAGTAAAAGTCCACGGCATGATTCCTCATTTCCAACACATTCATCACTGTGTCTATCACGCGACTCTGTTCCACTTTCGGGCTTGAACTGATGGTAAAACTAATGACATTATTTACTGTCTTTACATTTATTTTGAAAGATGAAGCTCGCGATTATGGCAAGGGGCGTTACATTTCCGACGAGTGCTTGCTGTGTTCGGCCAGTCACAATGCACTGGGTCAGCTGGCCAATCAGAGCATACTGCGCTTGTCGGAAGGAGGGACTTTGTAGAAAACGAAGCGTTTGAGAGAGGCGGGGCATAGAGGACTTACAATAATGTACAGTATTTGAAAAATAATGTGTTTTTTGAACATTAAAGCATGTCAACATATTCTGTTACACCAAATACACAAAATCATGATCTTTAAAAAAGCATCATATGACCCCTTTAATTATGTGATAAATCTATAGATTTTTTTTTAATTTGAATACTTTTTGGCATTTTCATATTGTAGTAAACTCTAATGTATACTGAATACTGTAATATACTCTAATAGGACACCTGGGTGAAGGCAGTGAAATCAGTTCTGCGAAAAGCTCCAGTGTCATTTGTTTGCAGATGCCCATTTTTATATTCGGTTATATAATGTAAACATGTCCAAATACTTTTTGTGGCCACAGTACATGTATAGCATATTTTGTAATTCTGATGACATACTTGTATTGAGCTTGCTTCTGAATCAGTGCAGTGTCAGTGAGGTCCATTAGGTCTGTGTCTGAACCTGTGCACTGCAAGTGGGGACCCTGGTCCCCTGAAAGCTGGTCCGCCTGTGATGACTGCTCCAAAACACAGGTGGGACTATTGTTTTGTTTCTGACCTGTTCTTAGACATGCATCACTGTAACAATGTACATCTATCTTACACTAAATAATTGCATGCTGTCTAGTATGCTGAATACAAATCTGTAAATGTAGTTGCGATATCTGTATACTGACATATGGGGACATTACAGACACAGAGCCGCTCCATTGCAGTCTACCCTCAGTTTGGTGGTCAGCCTTGCACTGGGAGCTCAACCCGCAAACAATCATGTATTTCAGCTCAGGTCTGTCCTCTAGAGGAGGGTTGTGGAGAACGTTTTCACTGTCAGTCAGGTACTTATTTTGATTTGGAACTTATTTGAAAGTCTTTAAAAGGTCAAAAGAGTTTTAAGAGGTGTTGAATAATTTTTCTCTTTCTTTCTCTTAAGGGAAATGTATTAGTCAGTCGCTGGTGTGCAATGGAGATCATGACTGTGAAGATGGCTCAGATGAGTGGAAATGTGACAGTAAAGAGCTCTGTGACCTGCAAAAAACTCCACCGAATGTAGAGCTCACTGGTCAAGGGTAACTTAATGATATCTGTCGCCTGCTTGTATCCATATTCATTTCAACAATACATTCACACACACACACACTCGCACACACACACACACACACACACACACACACACACAGATCACTAAAGCCACTATGATTGTGAATGTTTGCACTAAAGGTTTGATGCATTGAGGAAAGAAGCAAGAGGAACTGTTATCAACACCAAAAGCTTTGGAGGTCTGTGTAGAAAGACCTTCAGTGGAGACCACATGGGCCTATACAGACTTCCCCAAAGTGTCCTCAGATACACTTTCCAGGTAACTGAAATTTCACAGTTTACTAGATTAAGATAAATAAGACGTATGAGATACACAAAGAAGAACACGTTACCAATGCAAGAGCAGAATCTGGGAGACTTTCTATTAAGATTTTTTTTTGTCTCAGTTTCTGCATTTGTTTTTGCCAGGTCACAGCAAAAAATGATTTTACAGATGAATCCTATGACAGCTCTTGGCATTACCTTAATCACTATGAAAAACATTCAAGAACAACAGGCACAACTTATGGGCATGACGATTATGTCTTCCATAATGAACTGTTTCAGTCTCAGGTACTGTATGCTACGACATATTCACTATATAATATTGATATTAACTCTTGAAATGATTTTAACCCTGGGTTAACATAATATTGGGTTTTGTTTCATATTTTACTCTGTTCACACGCACCCTGTGTTAGTAATTCATCCTGGCCTGTCAGGTTCTAACATTCTTATTTGCATATGTATGTGGTTAATACTGTTGGTTGCAGATGTAACTTGTGATTGTGTAGAAGAGCAAATGCTGACACAATCTGCTCTTTTGTTTGAAATCTTCTGAAATACTGCAGAAATAATGCTGTCACATCGCTTCAGTTAAGGCATTTGCCATTGCTGTTCGATATTTTTTATATTTTCTCCTCAGACACTGCAATCTAAAACTAAACAGAATCTAAAACTAAACGCAGCCTGTAAATACTTCTTCAACAGTTCATGATTAATACATGGGCTAAGCGAGGATACAATTTACGATTGGTTGTCTGTTGCTAAAAAAAATTCCATGAGACATTCAGCAACACAAAAGTTATAATCCAAGATTAAAGTCGGCATGAAAGGAAAATGCAGTAATGCATTAGCTGATGGTAACAAATTAAATATATATATTTTTTTAAGTGTTAAAAGTTAGCATGGGGATTTAGGCATGCGTTTAAGGTTACTGTCTAACAATCTCTGAATTTTCTGTTGAATTAAAAATTGTTGAAATCATTGACAACACATGCCCAAATATTAAAATATGAAACTTTGCTCTCCTTTCAGTCCAAAAATCTGCTGATCATGAAGAGTGATGTGGATGTGGCCCAGTTCCAAAACCAGGCCCCAGAATATCTGCCACTTTCAGAAGAGTTCTGGAAAGCACTGCGGTCCTTACCTGTCACATATGATTATGCTGCCTATTGCAATGTGCTGGAGAGATTTGGGACCCACTATATTTCAGAGGGCACTCTTGGGGGCCAGTTTAGATTATTTATGATGGCCAGCCAAGATGTTATAAAAAAATTGCGTGAGTGGTCTGTATGTCACATATTTGTTTTACCCTTATATGTGAAGTTGTTGATGTTGTTTTTCATTCAAGGTCATTGCACTGTCTAACAGTTGTCTGTTATCTCTTTTTACTTAGAAACTGTGCAAAGAGACTATCAACATTGTGTCAAAACGTCCCATTCTATCCTGTTTATCATCAGGTGGACCACAGTAGATTGTGATGATCAAACAATTAGGGATGCTCAGTCATCTTGTAAGTCATTCAGAAAAAGAAAGCAAATTCAAACCATAAATGCTCAACTGAAGCTTTATTTTACATTTGGGAGACAAAATAATGTGCGCATATGCAATACTTTCATACTAGTTTCTGAATACAGGCAATGTACTGTATAATAATATTATGTTTTGTGTTCAATATGTTTCCCAAACAGATGAAAGCATTCCAAAAAATGATATGACCACGAATATATTTGGTGGAGCTTCTGGATATATAGCAAAATTGTCAGTGTTAAACAAAAACACACCAGTGGAGAATGGCAGGGCGTTCTCACAGTGGTCGGGTTCAGTGAAGGACTTTCCAAAAGTCATCAAACCAAAGGTTGGTTTGGAAAACCAATGTCATAGCATACACTCTTTGTTATTATAACAGCCTTATTTGCATACAATAACCATAAATTAACTGCTAATCATATAACTGAAACACATGCAATGATTTCATTCTTATATGAGCAACCATGTGTGAATTTCTGATTCGTGCAGCTCAGACCTCTTCATGAGCTGGTGAAAGAGGTCTCGTGTGCGGGGGTGAAAAAGCATCACTTAAAGCGCGCAATTGAGACTTACCTCAGCGAGAAACACTCATGTCACTGCAGAGAATGCCAGAACAATGGGCTGCGCATGCTTGACAATGACGTCTGTAAGTGTGTGTGTAAACCAGGCACCACAGGTCAGGCGTGCCAATATGGGACGCCGCAAGATGAACAGCCAGGTACAGATTAATCACTTCAATTAATATTGCATTGATCAGGGGTTTTCAAACTTTTGGCAAATTTGTCTAAATTCAAGTCAAGTAAAAAGATACAAAGAGATAAACAGAAAAAAATGCTTAATCAATTATGGAAACTCCGCTATGGAGACAATTTAGATTCTTAATTATATTAAATTGTGATTTATCTAATCAATTACTATCTTTAGAAGTTCAAATGAAACATTGTGTAATTTAAAAAAAAAAATCATATTTTTGTATATTTATTTGTATTCATTTATACATTTAAGCATTTCTTTTTATAATAATAGCTAAAAACATTATTTTTTTAAATAGTATTTTTCTCTTTTTTTAGTGTATGGTTTTAGTTTATGATATGAGATTGGGAATGTACTGTAAATATAAACATATTCAATTTATATTTAAATCATTCATTTTAAGTGTGGCTTAAGTTTCCAAATATTTTTTGGGGTCACTATACATGTTTTTAAGTGTCCAGTTCATGTCTTTTTTATCTCAGGAGTGATTCATGGAGACTGGGCCTGTTGGTCTTCATGGAGCACCTGCAAGGAAGGTCAGAAAAGCCGAAGCCGCTCCTGCAGTCGCCCCGCTCCTTCAGGCGGCAGGGACTGTATTGGGAACGCTGTGGAGACGGCAGTCTGCGATGATGCGCAGGAATTAGATTACCTACGGTGAGGAAAGGTCACCAGCCTGTTCAACAGTACAAAGCTTTGTTCTGAAAAGCTGTAATAAGCTGTTCTTTACAAGGTGCTAGAGATCTAGAGAATATTACTGTGCAACAACACTGCCACTATGTGGAAACCTGACTTATTGGTTTTGACCTATTTTCAGTTCAATGGAGCCTCACTGCTTTGAAAATTCTTTAACACCCAGGAAAAGCTGTAAAATCCCCCCCTTCCTCGCTAATGGGTTTGTTTTGGTAAAAATAATTTTATTAAATATTCTCCATTAAAATGTAATTGAATATGTTTTTGATATGTTAAAATGTTATAATGTTGTTGTCTTCCCTTTATTGCAGTACCCCAAAGATGCATATCCAGTAGGCAGTAAGATTGAGTATGCATGTATTGAGGGCTTTCACCTGATTGGGGATCCTATAGCAGAATGTCAAGAAAATCTAGACTGGGTGCGACATCAAATAGAGTGCAAGAGTAAGTGTATATGACTTTTTAGAGCTGAAATATGCTGATGGTAGTATCTATTTTCAGTGTACTATCGGGGGAGAAGAGCCTTGGTGAGAGAGGTATGTCTCTAAAAATGGCTGTCCACCAACGTTTACTATCCAACCTGACAGAACTGGAGAGGCTCTGCAAGGAGGAATGGCAGAGGATCCCTAAATCCAGGTGTGAAAAACTTGTTGCCTCTTTCCCAAAAAGACTCATGGCTGTATTAGTTCAAAAGGGTGCTTCTACTAAATACTGAGCAAAGGGTCTGAATACTTAGGACCATGTGATATTTCAGTTTTTCTTTTTTAATAAATCTGCAAAAATGTCAACAATTCTGTGTTTTTCTGTCAATATGGGGTGCTGTGTGTACATTTAATGAGGAAAAAAAATTAACTTAAATGATTTTAGCAAATGGCTGCAATATAACAAAGAGTGAAAAATTTAAGGGGGTCTGAATACTTTCCGTACCCACTGTATATAATTATTTGAAATATTTATACAAACTATATTTCATAAATAATGATTCATTAGTGAGAAACTTCTTTAGGATTATTTACATTTCATTTAAGTATTACATATAACTCTTTTTGTCAGATATATTTTATGTAACATATAATAATTACTGCTGTTTTCATTATTTAAATTCTAAATTTTAGAGAAAGAGAAACCATGTTTTATTAATACTGTATGATATAAAAACATAATATAATTTTTTACATATTAAGAATTTTTTCAGTTAGTTTAAATATTAACTTTCTAAATTAATTTTATTACATCTTTAATATTTAACTTTTCAGAGAAATGAGAAACCATATATGTTATATAATAAATGTTGTTTGCTGTCTGCAGAAACATTATGTGATCTACCTCAGCTTCCTCCAGATGTCACTGGAAGCCCGTGGAAGCTCACCTATAACATCGGTGACGCCATCTCACTTTCCTGCCCTGAAGGGAAAGTCAGAGAAGGTCCGGCTGAGATTCAGTGCAACGCTGGCCTTGCCTGGTCACCACAACCAAAAGAAATCAGTTGTCTGACAGGTACAAAACTAGTCTGGAAGCTGTGCAGCTTTGTACACTATGTCAAAATGAAGGAAATGTAGATACGGGACAACCGTTACAAGGTCGTTTGACAAATTTTGAAATGTATTGATGTGTAAAAATGAAGCATTAATGTGAGTAAAATGATATGCGTATGAGTAAAATGTAAGTAAAAGTTATTTGTTTTCCGTTAGTTTTTAAGTCAGCCACTGTGCAGCCAATGCAGTGCCAGCCATGGGAGAACCTGTCAAAGGATAAATGTGTCTGTAAAGTACCCCACGAGTGCAAGTATGTTCCTAGACAGGACATGTGCATTACACAACACAAATGCAAAAAAAACATGTAAATGTAAAAGCCATCCACCAAAACCCACAAATTTTATTTTCAGTTTAATAAAGGGTTGTGTTTTTCTCTCTTCTGCAGGTCTTCCCTGGAGATATGTGCCACTGATGTGAAGCGTGGTCGGGCACGGACAATAAGCCTGTGTAAAGTACAGGCTATGCGCTGTCTGGGACATCAGTACACTCTTGCTGAAGACAGTGCCTGCCAGTGGCCACATCGCTCATCCACTGCTTGTCCGAACTGCACGCTCTGGGAGACGTGTGATGGTGAGGGATTGTTAAATACAAAATAAAATAATGGCACACATCCCCTTGTGAAAAAGAAGTACGCTTTAGCATACTTTTAAAAAGAGTACTTAATAAGGAAATAATATACTTAAGTGCAAACTGAATGTAATGTTTTCAGACAATTAATTGCATGTTAATTGCAATTAAATTAAAATACATTATGGTTTAAATTTAGATTAAAACTATTATATTAAATATAAATATATGTAATTTCGTAACTACTTCTGTCTTTAAAATATCAATTAAACACTTCTTTTTCACATTGGTAATTATGTATTAAGTAAATCTGAGTGTCGAGACATTTTGACATTTCTTTTGAAATTTTGAAGATCTGTGATTAACATGACTTTCGACAAAATTTTCACCTTTTGTTTTGCAACACAACGTACATGCTTTCATACCCAAACATGAATGTAGCACAATGTTTTCATGTTGTGAAACAAATCGTGGAAGTCTCTTCAAATAATACTCTTCAAATAATACTAATACTCATCAATACTCATACTCATTCAAATAATACTCAATACTCAATTCCTGAGGGAACCCATGGCTTGAAATTGTAAATTCTTGCTAATGTATTTTTGAACCTGGTTAGAAAAGTGCTATTTACAGACTTAAAATGTTGCAACTAGTCAATATTCAGGAATTCTTGGTTGTAACAATTGTGTCATTGTAGAGCAAACGAACAGCTGCCGTTGCAAGACAAGTGAGGAATGCTCATCCCTGGATGCTTGGATCCATGTGTGTGTGCAGCAGGAAGGAGCGTCTGCACCAGTGACAATGACAGAATGTGAGGCGGCTGTGAGGAAATGCAGAGGAGAGGCTCTCCACATTGTCAGCATTCAACCCTGTCAGTCATAATCTCAGAGCCTCACTAACAAATTAAAGTGTAACAATTTACGTTGAACCCTGAAAAGGATTCCTGCAACAGTTTTCTCAGGTTTGCAGAGGATTCAGTCAAAACACCATGAATGTGCTTTTTTAAAAAATGGTAAAACAGTAAGTTTGGGCAGGACCAGGAATAGAGTGCTGCAGTGTGTTTTTGTAGGCCAACCCAGAAGATAGCATCACCCTGGTTCCCTCAACCCATTAAGATTTTTCCAATGGCTTTTGAATTTTTGCAAAAAATAATCTCTGTGACTAACAAAAGTTTATTATTCTTACGTTTTGGTCATCATGATAGTCTTCACAAACTTTATGAATTTTAAAGCCTAAATATAATCAGCAGATATACAAAGCTAAATATAGGCTATACATAAACTACACCACAGTCGCTTGACTTCGATGTCACAAGGCTTCCAACAGCTCTTTCAGTCTTTATTTAAACATTTAAATACATTTTCTCTGAAAGTTTGAGTTACAATTGTTTGCAGGAGTGCAAATATAAACAAGTCTGTGAAAGTGCACTAGTGAGTAGATGAGATTTAATGTCCTGGCAACCTCTGTAACCCTTTTCTAAGATAAATAAAAGCTTTAAAAAAAATCACGAGGGCATATTTACTGATATATTTTATGTCGTAGAATAAAATGTGAAAATATCTTCAGCTTGTGTTTAACACAGAGTTTATTTCAAGCATTTAACCAAAAACCCATTTAAAAAAAAAACGGTTTTATTTTCAGGTTTTGGCCTACTAAAATACATCATCCCCCAGCACACTATCAAAAGGCTGTGAAGTGCAGGATGTCATCAACATTTTTGGTTTGTTTTCCTGGAAGATGAAGACAAGTGTATCTGCTAAAAGTGCATTTTGTCAACATTTAGGAGCTAGCATATATAGATGATGTGTGTTAGCTCTAAGCCTAAAAGCCACAAAACTCTCATTTTGAGTTCATGGAATTTTTAAAGACTGTGGTAATGTATTTTAAACAGTTACAGACAAAATCAAGTAAAACTATGTGCCTTCCCCTTCCTTGACTTTTTGGTTAGCCTAACAACCAGCAAAAAAAAATTAATATAAAAGCACAAGTTAAACCAAAATTGTTGTGTATTCCTGTCAACCTGTTCTGGGGCCTCATTTATAAAATGTTGCTTATAAACCGTCCTAAATTTGTTCTAAGATCATTTCTCAAAAATGCGTAAGTGCGATTCAAAGAAAATGAACGTGCGTACGCCTCTCTTCCAGATGTGACATTTATAAATCGCAAATGATCTTGAAATTGTGTGCAGCTGACTGTCAGATCTCGCCTTGTAAACGCCCCCTAATTAATATCATTACCATATAAAAGAGCACACGCCAATATCCGAATGTCTATGCTTGAAGCACAAGCATAGAGCACAAGCACGAGCACAAAGAAAAAAAAAACACTTTACTGAGTCTGAAATTGAGGTCTTGCTGGCTGAGGTAGAGGTTCGTGCGGGGACGCTTTTTATTTAATAATGTGTAATTATTCTGTGGACAAACAAAGTGTGTGTGGTTATATTTTTTTCTATTGACTATTATCAAAATTACTACTTCTAGAAACAGAAATAAGAATAATAATAGTAATTATAAAACAATTAGGTTTCCAAAAGTAAGAATAAACTACGAATTCAAGTAAAACTTTGTCATGTTATAAAAAGTGAGCCATCCTACTTTTAAAATCACTTGCTATGACAACTAATAAAACGTTTAGTATCACGAAATTCTTGAAAAACTTAAAAAAAAAAAAAAAAAAAACATTACTGAAAGAAAAATTGGACGTTTCATATCATAATAAAATTAATTACACTATTATGGTCTCCGGTCTGAAAAAAAACCTCATGTGATTTGGCATTTCTTTATATTTACACAGTTTACTAATGCTGCTCAAATGCATTTTTTTCTATTTTACGCATTAGTAGTAGCCTAGGCTAAAACAAGACTTTGCAAGTTCTCTTGTAAAATAAAATAATACAGAACAGTACAGAAAGCGATTAAAGAACTCTCAACATTAGGCTACTAAAAAGGTCAGTTTAATTTCGCAAAAACTCCCGTTAATAAAAAAAAACTGACTACACTGCACAATTAATCTCTTGCACTGCATCTTTGTTGTTTATGATGAATTTGGTTGTGTAGGCCTACGCCTGCTCAGACCCTGACGTGGCGGTAAGTACTTTTCCACGTCAAAGACGTTTAAATATGAATGTTGCCGTGGATTTTAGCGTACTGCACACTCTAAGATCAAATCTGTGCATACGCACATTTTATAAATGAGGCCCCTGTACTTCTACTGGACTCTGAATAGCATCATATTGAGCCAGCTCCAGACGTCCTGCCAAACTCCTGACAACCAGCCCAGATTCTGCCAACAGCTTGTCCAGCGTCAGCATCGCAGCCAAATAATTAATCTGAAAACCATGTCGGTTCCTGTAAACGCTTTTTTTTTTTTTTTGCACCCTCTATAACTGCTGCCAGGTGCGAATTTCACAGCCTCTCTATTAATGTGCTAACAAATCCAGTTACCTATAACTGACTGAGATCCAAACCTGATCAATTTAATGGGCCTGTGACCTGTCAGAGGGTTGTTCTGAGAATTGTGGATAATAGGGAGGATATCAGATGGTTTATATTGTTTCCTACTGAAAATCTGACTAATCTGAGTTTCTCTGAAAAGAGGGTAATATCTATGGATACTGACTTTTATTATTCTACAGATTTAATTCCTGTACCTTTTCTTATGGTGATTTGTATGTTAAATAAAACATAATTCTTAATGTAAGACACAAAGTTCCAGTTTTGTTAAATCATTAAAAAAAGGTTTATTATCAATGTAAAACGACACTGCGCCTTTTCATAAACACTACAGTATCTTCACCATGCCTGACACATTTAGAACTGTTATTAATAAGCAAGACCCATGCGGAGTCCCTCCAATCTGGACTTATATCACACCAGATGGATAGACATGCCACCCTTTACTGACAATCTCTTTAAAGGAATCACAGTTTTGAAAAATAATTCAGCGCGCTAGGTTTACATTGTATATGTACATCTCTAAAATTTCCATTTATAGATATATTCTTTATTTACAAAGGCTTCTTCAGGTATTGTATACTCCTAAAGGCTGAAACAAAAAGGAAAAAAAGTTACAGGATTTCGGTTTATGGAAGACTAAATAATACTGTAGTCAAAATATGGTAACAGCAAAAAATACAAATAAAATCAGACCAAACCGACAACATTAACTCGTGTTGTGCACTATAAAAAAAAAAAAAAAAAGCATCATAAATGTTTAGCGTCATAACCTCTTCTCTAATTAGCACTCTTCAATGCCTCATTACAACACCTGTCTTGACAAAAAGCACAGCATATGAATCGTGTGGACAAACATAGCAGTATTCATACTACAAACCATTTTCTTTACTAAGCATAATGTAGACGAACATTCAGTTAAAAATGAAAATCTGTCATATTGATCAAATATTATTTAGTGTTTGTTTGACTACTGATGTTACACAGATATTACTATTTATTCTCATAGCAGTAGGAAATTGGACAGAACTCACCAAAAGAAAGCACTGGTTTGGGAAATGGCAGTAGTACTGTTGATTGGTGAGTGTCAACACATAGTGAGGAAACGCAGTCATTTGTGACTGGATTCTGGGAGAGACAGCTCTTAGCTAGACACCAGACAACAGAGGCCAAAGAAACGCCGCTTTCTCTGCCGGACCAACGGGTATGGCGTCAGATTCAACAAACTGCTGTCATCTGTAGACACAAAAACAGATCATTGTAAAACAGCAGCAACCATTAAAGGATCACCTGTCCTTTCATTGGCCAATGTATACATTTAATGAAACATTATTTTTAATTCAACATTCAAAAGTTTTGTTACCATCTAGGCAAAATAAGCTCCAATTTGCAAATCTAATTTTGGAATAAAATCAAAATATTGCAAAAATGGAAATAAAAATAAAATTGTGGCCACTGGGGACATGTGGACAATAACTGCATTATTATTACTATTACTATTATTTTCTGGCAAATAATCCTATTACATATAAGGCCATCTTTAATGCTAAGTGAATCTTAAATATATTACCATTCAAAAGTTTGGGGTCAGTATGTAGGCAAAATAAGCTCCAATTTGCAAATCTAATTTTGGAATAAAATCAAAATATTGCAAAAATGGAAATAAAAATAAAATTGTGGCCACTGGGGACATGTGGACAATAACTGCATTATTATTACTATTACTATTACTATTATTTTCTGGCAAATAATCCTATTACGTATAAGGCCATCTTTAATGCTAAGTGAATCTTAAATATATTACCATTCAAAAGTTTGGGGTCAGTATGATTTTTTTTTAGAAAGGATGCATTAATAAAAAATGACAGTAAAGACATTTACAATGTTACAAAATATTCAAATAGATTTCAGATAAATGCTGTTCTTTTAAACTTTCTATTCATCAAAGTGAAAAATATCAAGGTTTCCACAAAGAATTTAAGCAGCTGTTTTAACACTGATAATAATAAGAAATATTTCTTGGATCAGCAAAGCAGCATATTAGAATCATTTCTGAAGGATCATGTGACACTGAAGACTGGAGTAATATCTGCTGAAAATTCAGCTTTCCATCACAGGAATGAATTACATTTTTTAATATATTAAAATAGACAACAGTTTTTTTTTAAATACTATTTTACAATATTACTGTTTTACTGTATTGTTGATCAAATTAATGCAGCCTCGGTGAGCATGCTTTCAAAAACAGCCCCAAACATTTGAACGGTAGTACAGATTAACAATTTGAGACCTTGATTGTGCTGAAAGATTGTTGTTTGATGCCCATTTTGTGTAAGTTTTCAATAAATATGTCAGTAAAATTAGCCAAAATATTCAGAAAGCCGAGTGATATTACCTTGGTTTTTCAGTGGTAAAGGCATGGTCTCCCTGAGTTTGCTAAGCAGATTTTTCATTTCCGTCATGTCCCTAGAACAGTGAAGAACCGTTTCAGATTCAAACTGTCAGTTTCACAGAAAAAGAAATGGAGATCCTGTTCATCAGCTCAGACTATTCACCTCTCGATGTTCTCAATGTCTGTGGCCACCAGGAAGTAAGTCTGCGGACAGTCCGGCGGATTGGAGGACGTGTCTTCCAGGATTGGGATGTCAGAGCTGTCCTCTTTCTTACTGTCTACCTTTGTAGCTCCTGAATAATGTTTTCCTGGAACACATACAGTGAGACATCACTGGCAGACTCTAGAGAAACAAAAATGGTCAAAATGTGCCATCTCAAGGTTTGACCTCAGGGCAACAAGTCAACCTGCTCCAAGAGCATCCATATTTACTGTTTCTGATCAGATACAAAACACAGAAACTATCAGCGTCAACTCCTGCAAACATTAAGCCGCTAGAAGGCTCTACAGTTGGACAAGCCAGGCTTCATCAACGTCAGTTTCTGTTTCCTGCTGAGAGCCCATGCAGGGGTGCCCTCACAGCATTACCTTTCCTGTGGAGCTGCAGGGATCCCAGCAGACACACAGACTTCAGCATCTCCGTCAGGTACATTTCCAAACAGCACTGCAGCTGGATGAAGAGGCGGCAGATCTCCGGATGTATTTCTCCATCTTCTGGGCTGTGAAAAAAAGCATCAATAATGCATCTTCGATCTAGATTCTGCAGAGTTCTGGCCCCGAGCCCTGCGCTTCAACCTGTCTAATTTCTCACAAGTTACATTTCCCTGCATTCCTATGCCTCGCAGTCACCCAAAAAGTGACCAATGATGGAAGTTATGAGTCTGAGACACATTGTATGGCATGCTGGGCAATACAGCTAAAGCATTTACTGCATATATTGGTATTTTTCAGCCTTTTGATGATATTCAATTTATGTGTATTTATTGTTTGCACTGAAATTGCTTAACAGTGTCTTTTTCAAATCTGTATGACCATCAGTTTAGAGTTTTGAGTTGATGTCTGGAAACAGAACTGATTCACAGAAGTACATCAAACTTACCAGTTCTAACACAATTTTTGCTATTAAAACATCAGTCTTGATAGTTTAAAACATGACCAAATAAAAAGCCCATTGAAATCATGGCAATATTCAAGATGTCAGCAAAATCATTGTGAATATACTGTATCATGAATATTCAGTACTATATTTCTCTCTAAGTAGATGTTTGACTATTTCTGAGCAGCATGTTTACAAGGCTGTTCAGACAAGCTAGAGCTCTAAACATTAGCTCAGTGGCGAGTGAGAATTCTCAGAAAATCATTATTTCTCAGAATCATACGCCTGTAATTACTGCTCTGTAATTCCCAGGTGTAATGCTGTGGCATGGTGGATACTTTATTTTTCTGTTCTTGAATTACTTGGGACAGAGAGATGGACCAAATGCAGGCATAAAAGATAAAGCACGTAAAGCAAGGCCATAACCACGTCTT